TGTGTGTGTGTGTGTGTGTGTGTGTGTGTGTGTGTGTGTGTGTGTGTGTGTGTGTGTGTGTGTGTGTGCGCGCGCCCTGATTTTTGCTACTTGGTGGGGACGATTTCTCAGGAAAATGCAGCATCGTGGGGACTGGATGCTCCTTGTGGGGCCCAAAGCCCGGTCCCCACGACTTCGGAGGCTGATTTTGGGTGTAGGGTTTGGGTTTAGGACCAACGTGTGAATTGAGTTTAGGTTAGTTTTAGGGTCACCTGTGAGGTTAGCCTTGGGGTTTGTTGTTAGGGTTAGGATATAAAATTTCCAAAAAATGAATGGAAGTCAATGGAAAGTCCCCACAAGGATAGAGAGACATAGTAGGTGTGTGTGTGTGTGTGTGTGTGTTTTCCTCACTCGTGGGTTCCTCCAGCGGCTGCTGCGGCGGCGGCTCGTCATGCGGGTCAGGTCTCGGGCCAGGCCGAACTCTGTGAGTTTCACCTCCCAGGGGAACTTGTTGACCATGATGTTCCTCAGAGCCAGGTCACAGTGGAGGATCTGACGGGGTCACAGCGGTTGTTAAAGGTAACACAACTGTGTTTGCTGCATGACCTGTTTCATCTGTTCCCCCATGTTTGCCTTGCATGTCTTCTTGAATGGGTGTTTTTAACTGCCCCCTACCCCCTTCCCTGAATGTACAGCACCTTGTGAATTTATTTCTGTGAAAGGCGCTATATAAATAAAACTTTACTGACTTACTTACTCATCGTCGTGTTTCTTTATTAAACTTGTCTCAGTTCAAACTGAAAGAACAACCTTGAACAGAATCTGTGAACCGGCATGCTGAAGTTTAAAATGTTAATTGTCCTGGTCTCACACGGTGGACCTGCCTATCCTAGAGCAGGACTAATAAAAGAACAAAGCTGCGTTCACTCATACAGTATGACCTGTAGAAGATTTGTTAACATTTGATAAGCCTCACCATCTTGGAGCGCAGGTACTGCATGGCCAGAGCGATGTGGTAAGAAGCGATGGTTAGGAGGCTCTGCAGTTCTGGGTCTGCACTCAGGTGGACTCTGTTGGTCTGGAGGAAGGTCCTTAAAGTGCCAAAACTCACATATTCCATGATGAGGACGTAAGGCTCTGCACAGAGAGTCAAACTGCCTCAGAAACACAGCTGAGACTGGAAGTTTGCAAATATTATATTATAATATAAAACTATATGTAAAATCATCAGAGGGCTGTTTGAGGGTTTAACTGCCTCAGTCTTTAAAAACAATCTGCACAATGAGGTTACAGCAGGGTAAAGGTTGACACATTGGTTCATCTTTATAAAACACCTGTTTCAAACTCTTCTTGTATTTTAAAGGATCACTACTGTTCTTTTTTCATCTTTTCTGTAAAGTCAGAGGTCTGATGCTGGATTTGATTTGGAGCAAGACTCCCTCCAGCTGCTGCCTCATCAGGTCCAGAGCTCTGGGTGGTCCTGGACCTCCTGACCACTTCTACTGACTGAAATCTGAATTACTGGGTGAGCAGCAGGCTGTTCTGGGGTTACAGGGTTGAATCCTGTAACGGCAGATTTCTGGTTGTATTTACATGTTCTCCCTGTGCACCTATGGGTTTTCTCTGCTCTCTTAAAACCTGAGTCASACTACAAGATTTTCAAACAGTCGGCCGATTTTCAAAGACTGATAGAGTCCACCTGTGAGGATAAAAAAAATCATGGATCTACCAGGTTTTGTCCAACAGTGTGTGGTGTACAGCCACACGGCAAGAGACAACACACCACACAAGAAAAGATATTTCATTCATGAACTGTCAGATAATGAATCAAGCGAGACTTCCTGAAATCTTGCGAGAATTCAGATGTCCGAGGAAAAATCTCACGTGACCTCCAGAGAGATGTAAGTTCAGAGTAAAACATCTACAACAAGGAAGAAACAATGTTGATCATTTGTGGACTATTTTTACCAGAGGAYAAACAATTCCAGGACTTTTAACATCCAGCAGACTTTCTGCTGAGTCATGACAGTATTTGTTTATGTCACCTCACTTTCTGATTGGCTACACGTCTCATTCAACAGGCTGAGAGCTCYGGTGAACACTACACACACTGTGATATCYGGCCAAAAAAATCTAACATGTTGAATATCCCCGATTTGAGGTCAGAACGGTCCCAAGGTCCTTCTGAGCCAACTAGATCACTCTTAACTCACCACCCACGGCAGGAATATCTGCTCAGATTATCTTTATAGCCATCATGATAATCTGGACTTCCATAAGATTGTCGGAAGGGCAAAAATCGGCATGATTTGCTTGTAGTGTGACGCTGGCCTTATATGAGCCTGGTCAAAAACCTGGAGACATTTGTGTGTTGATTCTCTCTTTGCTTCCTTTCAGCAGTTAGTAAAGAAGTTTGAAGTATCTCTTCCAATGGACTGAAGAGGACGTTATTCCCACGGCTCCACCTACTACACCTAATCTGGATTAGAGAGGTTATTCATTTAAACTGGATTAACCGAGTCTGACTTTAGCTGGACCAGTTAAAATATGTGAATCTGTTTGTATTTTAACTAACACTGAGAAGATGAGAAATACTTAAATCTGGTTCTGCACCTGCAGGCTGATGCAGAGGAATGTTTCTTACGCTCTGTTGTGTTCCAGTCCAGCAGCTGCAGGATGTTCTTGTGATGCATCAGTTTTCTCATGATGGAAACCTCCGTGTCAACATGTTTGGCTCGAACACCTCCAAAAAAAAAAAAATTACCATAAGAATCAAACTAAAACCTTTTTTTATTGCAACATACAAGTGCAACACATGTAAAATATAAATTAAATATAATACCGTATTTATTCGTGTATAATACGATCTCATGTATAATACGATCTCATGTATAATAAGACCCCCTTTTAGTGAGCTTAAAAAGCATAAAAAATTTAATCCTCAAACTACCTCCAATTTCATACAGACTTCAAGATTTTTCAGCCTTTGCAGTCTTTATACATATCAGTAAAATGATCATTGGACTGTTCATTTTATTTTAACAACATATGTACTAAAAGGTATTTTGACAACAAATATATATCAGCTGTAGCAGCATCATATGAATTCTGGCATTTTACACATAGTCCACCAGGAGGCGCCAACACAAAAGTCAAAGACTTCACATGAGATTTGGGCCATCTTGTGGGGGAAAAGCAGATTACTTCCTACTCGCGAGCGCCCCCTCTGGTGGAGAAACATTTTTCAGGGATACAAACTTTTTCAGAACACCGGTAGACGGCAGCCATTACAGACAAACATGTTTGTTGTTGTTTGAGGAGCAGCCCGGTCACACACTAATGTCATTAGTTTGCTATCATTAGGAATACTTTTTTCTTTTTTTCACATCATGTCACCTGCCTGGATCTGTTATTATCTCACTCTGAAGCAGAAAGGAGTGTCASAGGTAAGCTCGTTTCAACTGATTTTTTCGACCCAGTCTCATTTCCGGACTCAAGTATTTTGTGAATGAAGCCGATATTTCAGTTAAAATATACAGTATAAGCAAAAATATTTATCCGAGTATAGTACTATCTCCCAACTTTATGGACGATTTTATGGATTTAATTTTACGTATTATACCTGAATAAATACGGTAAATTAAAAGGTTTTATAGTAAAATCAAGTCTTTATATTGGATTCAATAATTAATGCAATGAAGAGTTTTAATGAGCTGTTTAGTGTCACAAGAGACCTCCACCTCTAAAAATAAAGCCAGTTGTGTTTGATAATTGACACGAGTTCAACAAAAGCAGGATTTTAATAGAAATGTGAGGAACACTACATGTTGTGGATGTTTGAAGACACTTTTAGTTTTTACATCCATCATGTTAAAACCCAGAAGGATCTTCTGACCCAGATCTGCTGCATGTCAGACAAATATCTGCAGATCCAAACCTGAGCTCCTCACCTTCCTTGCTGATTTTACAGGTGAATATGCCGTGACCGTTACAGGTTCCTCGGACCATCCGGGCCTGGTAGAAGACCCCTTCCTTCCCTGCTTTGATCAGCTGCAGCAGATTCAGGTCTGACTTGGTGAAACGAGGACCCTTAGACAGAAAGAACAGATGAACAGTTTGTTGTGACGTGACCCATGACTGGCCCAGCTTGGATCTGGACTTTCAGCTGCAGAGTGGTACCTCCTGCAGGACTTTCCACAGCTTCTTGCTGGGGGCCCTGACCGTGCTGATCTCTGACAGATGGGTGCGTGGAGTTTGAGGAGGAGGTGCCTCCGACTCATCTCCCTCCTCTACAGGTGTCAGAGGGGCCACAGAGGGCTGCTCCAACCAGGGCACAGAACCCAGAAAAAACCTGGTCTCCTTTAGCCTCTTGAGGGTTTGAAGCAAGAAGCGATACCTGCAGAACAAAAAGCTTTTTACAGAACCGATTATTAAGATACACTCACCAGCCACTTTAATAGGTGCACCTTGCTAGTACCAGGTTGAGCCGCTTTTTGCCTTCAGAACTGCCTTAATCCATAGATTCAACAAGGTACTGGAACCATTCCTCAGAGAGCCTGGTCCATATTGACATGATAGATCACACAGGTGCAGATTTATCTGCTGCACATCCATGATGCGAATCTCCTGTTCCAACACATCCCAAAGGTCTTTTGGATTGAGTTCTGGTGACTGTGGAGCCATTCCAGTGCAGTGAACTCATTGTTGTGTTCAAGAAACCAGTCTGAGATGATTCATGCTTTATGATATGGAGCATTATCCTGCTGGAAGTAGCCATCAGAAGATGGGTACACTTTGGTCATAAAGGGATGGACATGGTCAGCAACAATACTCAGGTAGGCTGTGGCGTTGACACAATGCTCAACTGGTACTAATGGGTCCAAAGTGTGCCAGGAAAATTTCCCCTACACCATTGCACCACCACCAGCAACCTGAACCGTTGATACAAGACAGGATGGATTCATGTTTTCATGTTGTTGACACCGAATTCTGACCCTACCATCCAAATGTCGCAGCAGAAATCCAGACTCATCAGACCAGGCAACGTTTTTCAATCTTCTATTGTCCATTTTTGGTAAGTGTGAGTTGTAGTCTCAGTTTCATGTTCTTAGCTGACAGAAGTGACACACGAGAGAGGCTTTTTAAAGACAGTAGTGTGATGTGAGAGGCTTTTTTWAAACAGCAGTGTAATGCCAGTGGCATTTTAGAGACAGTAGTGGGATTTAAAAAGTCAACAGAGTTCTCAGTAGAACAAAGCTGATGAAGGTCTTTAAGAGGCCATGGAATGATTTAAGAGCCAAGTTCACTGTTGTGTGAACCAAAACACGATAAGGAAAAAACATTCATGATTGAGAAAAGTGCTGAGCCTGGAAAGTACCAGTTTCTCCAGCTGGCATGGGGTCATTATTTATTGAGAAGGTCCCAACTCCCTGGCCTCTCRGAACTTCCAACTATAGGGGGATCACACTTCTAAGCCTCTCTGGTGAGGTCTATTCAGGAGTGCTGGAGAGGAGGGTCCATCAGGTCGTCGAAACTCAGATTCATGAAGAGCAGTGTGGTTTTCGTCCTGGTCGTGGAACACTGGACCAGCTCTACACTCTCAGCAGGGTCTTGGAGATGGGAGTTCACCCAACCAGTCTACATGTGTTTTGTGGACTTGGAGAAGGCGATCAACCATGTCCCTCGGGGACTCCTGTGGGGTGTCCTCCGGGAGTATGGGGTAACAGGCCCGAAATGGGCTGTTAGATCTCTGTACAGCCGGCGTCAGAGTTTGATCCGCATTGGTGGTAGTAAGTTGGAGTCATTTCCAGTGAGAGTTGGACTCCACCAAGGTTGTCCTTTGTTACCGATTCTGTTCATAACTTTTATGGACAGAATTTCTAGGAGCAGCCAGGGTGTTGAGGGGATCCTTTTTGTGACCTTAGGATCACATCTCTGCTTTTTGTGGATGATGTGGTCCTATTGGCTTCATCAGATCCTGATCTCCATCTCTCACTGGAGTGGTTCACAGCCGAGTGTGAAGTGGCAGGGATGAGGATCAGTGCTTCCAAATCCGAGACAATGGTCTTGAGCCAGAAACCGGTAGCGTGCTGCCTCCGGGTCGGGGAGGAGGTCCTGCCCCAAGTGGAGAAGTTCAAGTATCTTGGGGTCTTGTTAACAAATGAGGGAAGAATGGAGCAGGAGATCAGGCAGGCGGATTGGTGCTGTGTCTGCAGTGATGTGGGCGTTGTACCAGTCTGTTGTGGTGAAGAGAGAGCTGAGCCAGAAGYAGAAGCTCTCAGTTTACCAGTCGGTCTATGTTCTTACCCTCATCTATGGTCATGAGATTTGGGTAGTGACTGAAAGAAGGAGATCACAGATACAAGCAGCTGAAATGAGTTTCCTCTGCAGGGTGGCTGGGCTCTCCCTTAGAGATAGGCTGAGAAGCTCAGTCATCCAGGAGGGACTCAGAGTAGAGCTGTTGCTCCTCCATGTCCAGAGGAGCCAGTTGAGGTGGTTCATCTGGTTAGGATGCCTCCTGGACTACTCCCTGGTGAGGTGTTCTGGACACGTCCCACTGGGAGGAGGACCAGAGGAAGACCCAGGACACGCTGGAGGGACTATGTTTCTCAGCTGGACTGGGAACACCTTGGGATTCCACCTGACCCCGGACAAGAGGAAGAAAACCGACAGACGGTCCCAACTCCAGCATGAGCACTGAGATCTAAGAGAAATATAACTTCAGCTTTACCATAATCGAGTTAAACATTGTAACCAGTGATCATTGAACTAACACATCAAAGAGGCTAGAACGTATTGTGATTAGATGTTTAGGTAGGAACAGACAAATGACAACTGACTGTGTCAGTATGTAATCAAATAATGTAAAACACTATWTATAGTGCATTAAACTCACACTTGGAAGTTTTTTTTTAAATTATAAAMGCTTGATTTTGATTTCCTTTTACGTCAGATGTAAGAACGTAATTAACATTGTCTACATTATAGCCAGAACACATGATAAGACACATTCCAACTCGCATTCTGTGCTTTAAGCCTTAAGGCTGCAAAGATCAGACAGTATAAAAATACAAGACTGGCTCTAACATTCAGTTAATCATTTACAWTATTCCCTTCACAGACATACAGGACAGTCTCACAATGGTTTTTTCAAAAACTCAGTTTTAAATTTATTTAAAGTCTAAGGAGGGRGGCACGGTGGCTCAGTTGGTAGAGCTGATGCCTCTCAAGAAGGTCGCCAGTTCAAATCCCGGCCCGGGGACCTTTCTGGGTAGAGTTTGCATGTTCTCTCAGGGTACTCCGGCTTCCTCCCACAGACCAAAACCATGACTGTTAGGTTAATTGATAACTCTAAGTTTACCCTAGGAGTGAGAGACAGTGAATGTCGTTTGTCTCGTTTGTCTCTGTGTGTCCCTGTGATGGACTGGAGACCTGTCCTTGCACTGACTGCTGGATATGGGCACCAGTGACCCRTGTGACCCCGAAAGGAAGAAACGGGTTTAGAAAATGGATGGATGGATGGATAAAGTCTCAAGATGTTAAAAAAGATAAATAACTGTTCCCTCATCTGCTTTGATGCTAGAAATAAGTTCTCCACCTAACRCCATCCACCTTCCATGCTGTTGTCTTCCCTGTGACCGCGCCCTCAGAAGAAGATGGATGTTTTGGGGAAATTACAGATTTTTGCGGGTCAWGATACACAAAAACCTCCAAATATATGTATAAAATCATTTTAAAAATGTGAGCCCCAGTAATAAACCATGTGGAACACCCCAGACTATTGTTTTTAACTATGGTTTCGTATTATTGATTCTTACATATTGAAATCTTTTTTCAAAATATCTTTTAACCACAGTTCTTATTGTTCYCATAAATATTGGAGCATTTCAAAATTTGTGTGGAAAACTATGTAAAATCTATAAACACCCTCAGAGCGAAAGTAAACCTTATATCTAAAGCATATTTCACAGATACACACATCACAAAGTGTTTTGGAGAGCAAAATAACTAAAGACAATAAAAGCAGGTCACAAATATAATAAAGAACAATTTAAAAAACAGTAAACAAACTTAACTGAAAGCCAGTCTGAATAAAAATGTGTAGGGGTCACCTCGAGTGACATTATCAAGGAAACTGTCTTGGACCTCAGACCTCCGATGGGCCTTTAAGACAAAAACTCCGTTCCACTCAGAACTGAATTTAGTCCACCTTAGGTCGCCTTAACTTCTCAAAGAGACGTTCTCTTTTTCTTAATCAGATAATAGACAGAAGAAGCTTCTTATTATTTGATTTATTTTCTTAAGTGAAAGCTATAACGCATTTTGAGAATCAGAGAATTTTTTATCAAAGTTACAGGAGAAAAGAGATCTGTCCTCTTTTCTCCTGTAACTTAAACATTCTCTGATTCACAGGGAGCCAGTGCAGAGAGTCAGAACAGGAGTAATGTGGCTCTTCTGTGGGTCTGCAGCCTGGCTGCAGAGTTCTGCACAGACTGAAGACGAGCCAAGGAGGGTTTGTTAAGGCACGTAAAAAGATTTACAGTAATCTAAACCAGAAGAAATAAAAGCGTGAACCATCATCTGTTGTTCCTTCTGTGACACAAAAGATCTCAGCTTCAAATTATTTCTTAAATAATAAAAACAGTTATGGACTAATGTTTTACAGTGAGTGTTGAACAAGGAGCTGTCAAAGACACACAGATTTCTGAGACTGAGACCGTTACTGAGTTCAGACAGTTTGTAGAAGTCTGTCTTGAAAGAACAGTACAACTGTATATCATCAGCATACAGATGAAATGACACATTACTGTAAAGTTTTTAAATATCTCCTATGTGCTTGGTTGTGGATCTGAAACTTACCCTGGTGATAGCTGGGGACTGTGTGTTGGGGTGATGAAGTGTTGTAGAGCTTCTTTCCTGTTTTTGAGTCTATGGTATGTTTCCCTCCATTTTTACGTCATCTGCACTTTTCTCTCTCAGATTATTTATCCTTTTTTTCTTGCCTGATTGTAGGTCCTCCCTGTATTTTTCTCATTCCTTCTCTAAATATCTTTCTCTCCTCTCTGGGTCGCCATCATGTCGTGCACAATAGCGTCACTGCTTTTCTGCAGCACTTAGTGGTGGATTGTTACCCTGTAAATATGGTATTCAGGAGCGGTGGGCACAGATCCCATAAAGCACTAATAGGGGAACTAATTTCCTGATTAGTGCTTTAGGGCTTTTGCTCATTTTAAAATTTATTAGTGGATTAGCACTTGCTAAATTTAGAAGCACTAACTGGGGTCTACAAATGTTATTGATCAATGTTACTGTTAACAGCTGAGGGTGAAAACTGTTATCATTTTGTTCATATATGTGTCACTGATCCACCAGGTGACAGTATATTGATAATAAATGAACTTAAATCCAGCAGTGGAATGTCAATGAGAAGTCTTTAGAGAGCAACATGTGACTCATGTTGTCTGTTGAAGGATGTTATGACTGGGTTATTTTAGTGCTTTAGAATTAGCTTTTGCTAAAACTTTCAGTGCGTTAGTGCTTTAGAATTAGGGGACCTAAATATTTGAGTTAGTGTTTTAGGGCTAGTGGAAGTAATTTTTAGATTAGTGCTGCCCACCACTGYTATTCAGATTATAAAACTGATCTTAAATCTCAACAACTTCAGTAATTTCAACTGAAAATTGTAAAAATGATGAATACTATTACACTGACTAATATTAACAACAAACCAAAGGTTTACTGTTATTATAAAGTAACATGACTGAGTTTTTAAACATAGAATTAGCAACAACATGAAATATAGCTACATGGTGGCTATGCTAATAGCACAAGGACACTGAGCACATTGTAGGGATTTTTCCCAAAAATATTTATTTTAAAAATAAACAAATAGCATCTAAGAGTTATTTTAGATAACAGGACAGAACATTGAGATTGACCTCCTCAGTCACAGTTACAAAATGTTCAAATATACAACAGCAAAAGAGAGGGAATTTACTGTTGGTCTGCCCATGACCTTCAGAAGGTCCAACTGATGCAGCCTGTTGAACATGTGGGATGGTCCAAATCATTATATGGAGTAACGTGTTAGGGTTACAGGACTGAGTGACAACTTAGGGACACAGTTAAAATATGTATTTTGATTGAAATATTATAGATTTATTTTGAAAAATATATTTTTAAAGCATAGATGTAATTTGGAGTCACACAAAAATCTTTAAAAATACATCTCTGAAGGATTTTAATTATTATATTTCATGGTAAAGTGGATAGTTAAAGAGCAGGGACAGGTACTGTAGACCAGGGGTTCTTAAACCTTTTTGGTCTGGGGACCCCTTAAAAGGGTGAGACATTTCCAGGGACCCCCCTCAGAAACCCCATAAAAACAACGTACTAATAATTTTAACCTCTAAATGCCATGGGACTATTATATTTTGTTTGGTTTAGTATGTTTGTTTTACTAATGCATTGTTCCCCATATTCTTTTTTTAAAATACAAAACAAAGTCACAATTTATTGCATTTTTTGAGGACCCCCAAGATACGGCTTGTGGACCCCTGGGACCSCAGTTTGAGAACCTCTGCTGTAGACTATATTTTCAGAGTTCTTAGTAGTTTTTATTAATGTTTTTAATTATGTTTCTTCAATTTTCAATTAGGTCAATGTTTAAAACATTATGTTTACTAATAAAAAAGCATTTTACAGTTATTTTTTGTGCACATGTAATTTCCTGGGGACGGAAATGGCATCGATTCGGTGGAATGGCTCACAAAGGATTTATTACATCCAGTATGTCAGTAGATGGATTTAKTACAGAAATAATTACTTTGTAATCATTTGAAATTATTTCAGGCCTGAGATTATTTTAAATCTTAAACTTCCTGATGACTGCGTGTGAGACACTGTGACCTGACTGGCCCAGAACTCCAGACCTGTCCTCTCTGCAGACAGGAGTACACAGAACTGTACACAGAACAGTACACAGAACAGTACACAGAACTGTACACAGAACTGTACACAGAACTGTACACATAACAGTACACAGAACTGTACACTGCTCTCTGGAACTCACTGGAGCAAGCAGCTTTAAAACAAAGCCAGGCTGAGCTCGGTGCTCAGGGTCAGGATCATAACATCTGTAACATCTGGATCAGGATGGTCTTCATGGAGGAAGACCCCAGGGGGCTCCACAGAGAAAAAAATGTTAACAAATCCTAAAGTTTCTGGGACTGAGGAGACAGAACTGGAGCTTCCTGAGCAGACACATGGTTTCCTTTTGAAAGGATTGTGTAAAAGTACAAACAAGTGTGTACATGTACACATGTACACATGTGTACATGTACACATGTACATGTGTACATGTGTACATGATGGTCAGGAGTGTTTCAGGCTCACTTACTTCCTGAGAAACACGACGCCCAGCACCACGAACACCAGCAGGGTGGAGGACAGAACCCCGATCAGGATCAAGTAGAGGAACTGATCTGAAATTAAACAAAGCTTCAGCAACGTTTCAGCTTCACTGGTGTGTGTGTGTGTGTGTGTGTGTGCAGTCTCACAGCTCACCTTCACACCTGTTCTCCTTCATATCTGCTCCTGTTCAGGTAAGTCATCAAACAGCCTCACCTTCACCCCTCTGAAGACCCCCACAGACAGAACAGTGGGTCTGAAGACCCCCACAGACAGAACAGTGGGTCTGAAGACCCCCACAGACAGAACAGTGGGTCTGAAGACCCCCACAGACAGAACAGTGGGTCTGAAGACCCCCACAGACAGAACAGTGGGTCTGAAGACCCCCCGCAGACAGAACAGTGGGTCCTCCACAGAAGCAGCTCGTTGACGTGTTCACCTCTGACTTCTGTCCTCCACAGGAGATCAGTTTGCAGAAGAACCACAGACAGAGGAAGTGCTGAGCAGCAGCAGGCGGTCTGAGACCAGAGCTGACTTTCACACAGAAACCAGCCCAGTTTACAGATTAGGATTATTCAGCTGTTTGTAACTCACAGTTTGAACACTGCAGGACTACATCTTAAATCAAGTTTAAAAAAACTATGTAAAAACACTGCAGGACTACATCTTATATAAAGTGTTTAAAAAAATAACTAAGTAAAAGTAAAAAATTAACTTCACAGAAACTGAGTTTGGAAAAGAATCATTTTACTGATAAGAAAAGTCATAAAACTGCTCACACTAACTGGAAATGTAAAAATACTTTCCCACACTTTCTAAGAAATGAAGTGTAACTGAAACAACAACTTCAAGACAAGCGTCTTGCTTTGGTTTATTAAAGGCCACAACACAGACGCTTCAGGCTTCATACAGCTACAATTAGCACATGTGCTTTAGCTGAAGTTACCTCATGGCCGCCTGCCACTTCGGAGGTCCTAAGCGAATGAATTTACGGTCTTGTCTAAATCAACACATGAAATAATTAGAACACCATAAAATACAAATGTACAGAATATTGTAACACAAATATAATAAAATACCTTGTTATACTAGCAGATTAACCAAGCTGCTGCAGACGATTCGATCAAAGTCTTATGCACGTTTTTCTGCAAATGCAGGTCTCGCAGTCCTTTATAAATGCACTTAAACCTCGCCATATTAATGATGCAACAAAAAATTGCCCTTTGCATCAAATAAAAGCCTTTTTTGAACAAGATAACATAATTTTGTCAACATAAATTATAATGCGAACTACAACAATTTACAAACAAAAGACATTTAACTTGTGTTGTCAAATATTTATTTCCTTTATGTAGAACAATTTCAGTGACAAGAAGTGTTGGATTTACTGCAGCTGGTTCCAGAAAAACTCATTTACACTTTTTTTAAAGGGATCCACGATTAGTTGTAACATTAAACTTTATTTTATAAACATTTATTTTAACTGTAAAATAAAGACTGTAAAAATACTGTAGGATGTTTAG